TAATCTCTAGGGTATATAAAGAACTCAAAAAGCCAAACACCAAAATAAAATAAAAATAAAACAACCAAGTCAATAAGTGGGCCAAGGCAATATGAAAAGCAGTACGGAGATTCCTTGGAAATCTGGGAATGGAACCACCATTTTACCCAGCTATAGACTGCTCCTCGGTCTATACCCAAAAGACTTAAAAACAGCATACTACAGGGTCACAGCCACATCAATGTTTATAGCAGCACAATTCACAATAGCTAAACTGTGGAGCCACCACAGAAAGGTCTTAACTGGGCTTCTCCAGAAATCTTCACCATGGCTGATTTTAGGACTGTCAGCAAAAAAGTCTCTTCAAAAAAGTTCAATGTAGATAAACTTCCTATATTCCTGCCACCTAGTTTTACTTGGCCACTGTCCGAGAAGATACCAGCACTCCAGATGCTGAACACCCCCTTACTAGTTTTTCACAAACATATCCAGTATAGTATTTTGAAGAAGAGTGCAAACAAGGCCTTTGGCTTGAGCTGGGCTTCACAGAGATGTCTATATTTTTTTAAAAATTTTTTTTGAAAGAGAGAAAGAAAGAATTTTAATATTTATTTTTTAGTTTTCGGCAGACACAACATCTTTGTATGTGGTGCTGAGGATCGAACCCGGGCCGCACGCATGCCAGACGAGCGCGCTACCGCTTGAGCCACATCCCCAGCCCCAAACTATTCTGATACTTTTTTGTGTGTGTGTGTGGTGCTGGGGATTGAACCCAGGGCCTTGTGCTTGGGTGGCAAGCACTCTGCCAGCTGAGCTATATCCCCAGACCCCTTGTCTATATTTTTAAGATAAGTTACAATTGGGCTCCATGGTAACAGCTGGCAGGGGGAGGAAAGAAAGAAGATTCTCCCCTTCTTAGGTGTTGTCCTTGAAGGGTTAAGTTGCCCAAAACAGTAAATGTAAAAGCTGCTTTTATGTGAATTTTTGCAGACTGTGAACTTCTGAGCCCCTCCCCTTACATGCTGGGTATAAAACTCTAAAACTACCTGAACTCGGGGTTTGGAGGATTGATTGATTATAGTGAAAGCTGTGTCCTCTGAACCTGGCTGCAGCAAATTAAACTGTGGAGCTAACCTAGATGCCCTTCGGTGGATGAATGGATTGAAAAAAATGTGGCATATATACACAATGGAATTTTACTCAGCAATAAAAGAGAACAAAATCATGGCATTTGCAGGTAAATGGATGGCGTTGGAGAAGATAATGCTAAGTGAAGTTAGCCAGTCCCAAAAAACAAATGCCAAATGTTTTCTCTGCTATAAGGACGCTGACTCATAGTGGGATAGGGAGGAGGAACATGGGAGGAATAGATGAATTCTAGATAGGTAGAAGGGTGGGAGGGAAAGGAAGGGGGGGCAGATTAGCAAGGATGGTGGAATGTGATAGATATCATTATCCAAAGTACATGTATGAAGACAAGAATTGGTGTCAACATACTTTATATACATCCAGAGAGTGAAAAATTGGCTGTATACGTGTAATAAGAATTGTAATGCATTCGGCTGTCATTTATTTAAAAAAAAATCAATAAAAAAAAATGGGTCATAGAACTGAACAGACACTTTTCAGAAGGTGATATACAATCAACAACAAATATATGGTAGTAAAGAGTGAGGGATGCCGTGAACAAAGTAGACCTGACCTAGGAACGTGTAGATAAATTATTCAAAGAACAGAGAATGTGTGCAAGCCAGGAACAGAGGCATTGCTTCAAACCAGCCCTGCTAGCCTCCCTCTTGATCTTGGCATTTCATCCTCCAGACTGTGATAAATAAATTTCTACCACAATGAAAAGTAAAGCCTGTGGGAGCTTTGAGTCCTCTCTAGAATGTTTTTCTTTATCTAGGAGGCAAATAGGGGACCACTGCAGGTGCAAAAAAAGAGTGTCCTGGCCATAGTTGGATTTTAGATATATGAAACCACATGCTGTCTGTTAGTTCCGTTTTAGTGGGAAGAAGTGAAAGACTGGTAAGTCAGTTTAAGGACAAGTACTAAATTTAGACAAAATGTACTGAGAGCCTGAACTAAGATTATATCAAAATTACATGTATTTGCTTATACCACACCATACACTATTATCAACAGAAAATATCAAAATGAATATATTGTCTTGAGCTCATGAAAATACTGTCATGTGTAGACCTTGGAAGTTCCAAAATAAAGAGGTCTATATTCTAATATTGAGTGAGTAGGGAAAAAGAGCAAAGGCACTCTGGGGCCTTGGCTCAGGCCTGACAGCCATTAGAAGGTTCCACCTTAACTTGTAGTTTGCCAGATACCAAAAGTGCCTCATTTATTCACCCCCAGATAGTACAAGGTGCATCATTAGGGACAGGTGTTTTCATGTAACTCATCCTTATCACAGGGCTAGGGTTCTGGAGTTAAAGTGCCCTCACAGGTTGACATACACCTAAGGCCAACTAACTTTCCTAAACCCCAGCCCACCCTTGCAAGTGGCCAAGAAATCTAGTTCCTTTCTTTGATCCAGCGAGCCAGCCTGATACTCATTTGTTGAAGCCATGCCTCCCTTCTCCAGAAGAGCCTTAATAAAAGCTCTGCCTATTATTCATACTCACATGACTCAATTCCATTTCCATCATCAGTGTGTCAAAGTTTCCAGTGCCCAATATTGATATCAGGGCAGCAAGGCAGAGGTCATTTAGACAGGGTTTACCATAGCATAAGCTAGGAAATGGTGGCCATATTGCCCAACGTTTTTATACAGCAAGAAACCCTCAGTGCTCCATGTTCTAAAGCCAAAAAAGTCTCCCATGACTTTTTTGCAATTATTCAGCAAATAATGATAAAATAGAAAGGAACTGTGGGATTCAAATTAGGAGAATGAAATTTGAAACCCTGATCTGGAATCTTCTAGCTATCAACCACAGAAATACTATTTAATCGGTTAAATCTCTCTTCTCTATCCCCGAGCAGTAATATATGGGTATATTTAACCACTGACTCTCCAGGAAAAAGGAAAAAAGCCATAGTTCATAGATTTTCCAGTTCTGTATTTCCAATACTCTCATCAATTTCAGGCTGTCAATGTGTGTCAACCAACTCACTCATTCCCTAAAAATTTACCAATTGATTCTCACAAGCCAGCATGAGCCAGTGCTAGCACACCAAAGCTCAGATTTCACATCTGAAAAATGAGAACCATGCCAACTCTACAAGTCAGGACAGGGATAAGTTAAAATGCCTAATCCAGGGTCATTAGCCTATATGAAGGTTTTGATAACTATTTATTCAATATTTACTCAGCACCTTTTATGTAGCACATTTTTCCAGGAATTGAAGATTTGGCAAGAACAAAAAAAGGAAGGGTATGCTCACTTGAACATGGTATTCTATACTGGGAGAGATACACAAAAACAATAAAAAAAATAGATAGATGATGTTTGGATGGAAGATAGAGTGATAAGTAGAGAGGTTATAGGTAAATGGATGAATTAATAAATGGAGAACCTCCGTCAGTCTGGTAGAGATAGAGCCTATGGAGAAAAGTCAAACAAGGATAAGGGGAGAGGGAGGAGTGGCTATACTATATTGATATGGTGGCCAAGAAAAACCTCACTGGTGAGCCATTTGGTGGAGAGCATGAGTGGAATGAAGGCATGAGCCATGGGGTTATCTGGGGAAAGTTTCCCAGGTAGGAGGAGATTGCATGCCAAGCCCTGAGATAGGCAGGGGCAGGGAGGCATGCTCCAGGGACTGTGAGAGGCCAGTGGAGTGGGGGCACCCGAGTGACAAAACAGGAGGAAAATTCTGTGGGATCAGAATTTAGACAAAGGAACAAAGTTACTGTGTGGCAGGAGCAGAGGTGAGGCAGGAAAAGGATCTCAAAACTGGCCAAGTCTTAGGAGTCTTTACACCTCTGAAGACATGGAGGTCAGGGTCCAGGGAAAGACAGGGCTAGGGTTCTTCTCCCTCACCTTCCCTAAATCAGGGAGGAACTGCTTACTCTGCTGGTGCAACCTCATTCCTTCATGTTTTGGCCACTCAAGTGTTTACACAAATGACAAAGACGAACCCAAAGGCTTCCATGAGTTGGCACTACTCATAGCTCTGGAGATACAGGCCCTACCTGGCCATCGAGGGAGCCAGAAAGCATTGAAACAAAAAATAATCATATTGCCTGGGCTATGAGACAATCAAATAAGTGGGTTGGTAGATTTCCCCTTCCCTAGATATAAAAATGTTCCTGGGCCAGGATCCCTTGGTCACCTAAGGTGTAAAATGTCCCCTGTCCCTGTTCTGGCATAGCACTAATTAGTAATAAGTGACATTGCTCCAAATGAATGGCCTAACAGTGACCAAAGGAGGCTGACAGCAGCCCCGATAATCCAGAGAGCCCCAACTGTACATGGCATGGACTTTTTTGAACCAGCAGGTTGGAAAAAAATGTCCATGCTTCGTGTAACCAAAAAATCTCAAAGATGAGAGGTTTTCATTTGCTTGGTTTGTTTCTATTTTTTTTTCTTAAATGTGGTGCATAGTACACCTACCACAAAAATCATCTGGGATCCTTAGTAAATGAACTTCAAATTTCTGGGCTCCACCCAAGAAATATAAATCAGAATAAACGAAGAAGGATCCCAAGAACTTGCATTTTCAACAAACTTCTAAGTAAGGTTGATGCTACATTACTGATGTTTGAGATCCACTGCTTTAAAACAAAAGTGAAGTGCATAAGACTTCTTTTCATTTCCATTCTAAAGGTCTCCATAAAGAGTGCTGAAGAAAGATCTTATGTAAACTTCCTCTTCAAAAACTCTACAGAAGCAATCAAAAGCTTTGTTTAGGCAAATGCACTGGGAGATAGAGTCCTCGTGATGGAACCGTCCCATCAAGGGATCCATTCATTCAAATGATTCCACGTGCAGAGACACTGGCTGGCTTCCACGGAAGTGCCTCCCTGTCTGGAGAGCTGAGGAAAGACTTTCTGGAATATTCCCTACCTGTAAAGAGGGCATGGTAGTGGAGGCCCTTCTCCTTGTCCTGATGGGAGCAGACATCAAATAAGTACGCTTTGATGGGCCCATCAATGAAGTCAGCAGCAAAATCAAAGAGAACCACACCTATCATGGTGACGCTTATGGCCCAAACCAGCTTCCTCCTTGGATTAGCAATCAAAGCTAAAAGAGAAATAAACATCGTTCTCCTCAATCCTGCTTTAGAATGATCCATTTAAAAAATTTGTCTTTTGGTGCTGGGGATTTGAACCCAAGGCCTCATGCATGCCAGGTAAGCGCTTTACCACTGAGCCACATCCCCAGCCCTGATCCATGTTTTTTATTTCACCAAAACTTTCTGTCATCAAATCGTCTTCCTCTACTTTGTTTTTCCAAATAAAAATAGCTTCATTATCTTTTCAAGTTCTGAAAATTATGCAAGTGAATGTCCCAAAAGACAAATCTATAGACAGAAAGTGAATGAGTGGTTGTCTAGGGCTGGTGTTTAAAAAGATTTGGGAAGTTGCTGTCAATGGGTATTGGGTCTCTTTTGGGAGTAGTGAAAATATTCAGAAGTTACAAAATGGAAAGGATTGCACACCTTTTGAATATACCAAAAATCACGGATTATATGCTTTTAAATGAGTTTTCTGGGGTGTGAGTGAATTATATTTCTTTAAATAAAAAAATACATATACTTACTGTAAACAATTTCAACAAAATAGAAAAAAAAAAAAAACAGCAACAACTAGAAAATGCTTCAGATCCTAGCCCCAACCATGGTTATCCTCTGGGACATCCTGTTATGTGCTTCCACACATCCAGATCCAGGTGTGCAGCTGTACCCAAATGCACTGCTTCTGAAACTCCAGCATGCTTAACATCACTTGAACAAGCCCCAGTTCTCAAGATTCTGATTCAAACTGACCTGGGGTTGGCCTGAGAACTTGGGTCTCCAACAGCCCCTAGAGATGTTGACGCTACAAGTCATAGGGCCATACTTTTGAATAGCACCGATGAATAAGATCATAGGGTGCATATGTGTCCATCCTCAACCAGCGATTCTCATCTTTTCACTGCAGTTAATGAAGAGCAACCTCATAATTTTTAATAGCTGAATAATATTCATTCTATGCATGTGTTGTCCTTCCTTCACTCAATCTGCTATGGAACATACACTGTTGTTTTCCTTGCTTGCATTTTTTTTTAAGCTAAGGATAGTGTGTAATATAGGTACATATTTACAAAATTTCAGTAAAAATAAGCCTACCCTCCCCTTTCACCTCTAGTCCTTAGCAGTGACTATAGTTACCAGATTTTTTTTGTTATTTTCCCATACATATTGTATATTTATGAGTTGAATTTATGCCTTCTTTTAAGTATATATAAATGTTCCCTGATTATCCTGTTTCTTATTCACCCATCTGCTGTCCTGGGAGTTGATGGTCTAAAAATATATGGCCTTTGTAATGTTTAATGATTCTTTTTTCAATGTCCTACCACCAAGAACTGATTAATTGGTAGCTGATTAATGACTAGAAAAAGCGTTTTAACATCAGATTTGTGGTTGTCCAGAATTTGCAATGCAAAAATGTTCCCTTGAGCTGACAGGCTAATGCCCTGTATCCATTAAGAGGCTCTTCATAAGGTAACGAACAAATTAACTCTTATTTGAACATACAGGCAATTCCTTGCCAGTGTTTACAGAGCCATTTGGGCACTGATCAATTTGACAAAGTATCCTACAAAGCATACTGGGCTCAAAAAATAAAATAAAAACTCTTATTGACAAGTAAGTACAAATATTTAATTTGATAAGTAGATAAAAATTCAGTCCTATTTTTAAATCTTCACAGCAACACAGGACAATACATGCCGAGATTCTGAAAGTAAAGGCTCCTCACGATTTTGGATCATTCAAAGGTAGAAGTTCATTGCAGCCTAGGAGAGACCATCAGTTTTAACCAGTTTATATTAAATGTCAAGAACTTCACATTCTTTTCCTATAGCATTGCACAACAGGACCTTGTGCCGTCCACTTACCTGATACTACCGCATCTCCATTTAGGTACAGCGCCATGCCCACGAGCATCATAATGACCAAGGTGAGGATGTAGGGTCTCCGGCGGCCCCAACGAGACCGGCAGTGGTCACTTGCTGATCCCACCACAGGTTGCAGGAGGAATCCCAGGATGGGGCTGAGGAGCCACACCGTGCTGTACAGACTCTTGGGCAGGCCCACGCTGAGCAGGACCGGGGTCACATAAGCTGCCTCCACTGCGTAGCAAAACTCTCGGCCGAACATGACCATACTGTGCATGATGAGTCTGCCTGTGGGTCTTTTTGGTAGCTTCGCAGATCCCAAGAGGCCATCCTCAGTTAGGGATTGATAGGTGTGGCTGCCAGCCTGCCCACTGTCGCTGCCCATTGCAAAGGGATGAGATACCTTTCTGCCTGATCCCTGGGTTTGGGCTCCAAACTGTATTTGATATGGAGCCTGGCTGAGCAACAGGCGGAGATGGCCAGGCTGGAGGAGGGGCTCAAATTCTTTCATGCCTCTAAGATCACAAGTTATGACGAGAGGGAAAGGGGGTGTTGGCCCTGAAAAGCATGACGGAGATTAGCTGCTGAGAGCCCTCTGGCTCCTTACAATGCCTGAATGTTTTTCTAACGAGATCTTCCTTTACACTGTTCTTTCTCAATTTCTCTCTCACACACACACCATATTTCTTATGATCACATCCACAGTTTTGAGATAATTAAGTCTTATTATACCGGGGTTAAATCAATATATAAATAAGTCAATCTTTTTATAAACTTATTTTTATAGATACAAATATTCTGTCCTTTCTTGACCAGAAGTTTTCTACACACACAGCTCAGAAGTTAAATAACTAGATTTAAGATAGCATGTGGGGTTCTCATCTTTCCTCGAAGTCATTACCTGCCTCATAGTGCCCTAATATGTCCTATTTGCACGTGATGAATATAATTAGATAGTTCTGTGTTTGTTCTATAGCATTTTGTCAATTAGTTTTGTTTTTTTTTAATTCTCCTTGAGGGCAGAGAACAGGTCTATTCTATAATAGCTCCTTAAGGTATTCCCAGCATCTAGCATGATACCTGGCACCTGGTAGGTCCTCAATAAATATTTGCTAAAGCAATGATTGAACAAATAAAATATGTACACTGTATTTCGGAATGTCAGCCAACAGTTTTGTTTGTTACATTTATCCCTCCTGTGCCTTGTGTCGTATAGGACTACATTTTCCAGGTTCACCTGCTCTCTAGCTTCTGTGGAAATTTGGCTAATGGGAGGCCTCCGTGGGAGAAGGGAAGAAGTCACGGTATCCTCGCCATTTCCTTTCTCCATCCTCAGGTGGCTATATTAAATTTACTCTGTTTCAAAGGTTTGGACTGGGTCATACCTTCCTTGCAGGACCCTGAATTCAAATGAAAAGTCTTGTCTGGAGAAACGTGACTGTATAGGAAGAGCCTTAAAAATGATTCAAGAGCAGGGCTTGGAGTCAGAATCTTCAAGTTTAAATTCTCGTCATGCTTCTTTCTACTTGCACGTCCCTCAACAAATCACTTAATCTGGTGTTTCTCAAACTGTGTGCCAAGTCACCCAAGGATTACAGTGAACTCATAGGTGTACCTTGGGATATTTAAACATTTGAACCTAGTAAACGCAGTGCAACAACATCTGTTGGATGGTACATGAGCTACTAGTGAGGTATTTCATACTTTTAACCCAGATTGCACTATAATCCTTTCAATGGTTTCATATCTTGTAAAGTGAGGTTTGCTACAGTCATTGTGATAAAAAGCAAGTACTATAGGAAAATCAGCATGGGACAGGAGGTGGAGAAGCAGTGTCTGATCTGACTCCAAGGCACTGTAGTGTCCAGAAGGTGCCCATGTTCCATTAGTAAATAATTGTGGTGAACAATGAGGAAAAAAATAAAATGTCACATTTTCTTTGTGAGTATTATTCAAATATCTAATAAGTAGTTAGGATACAAATGTTTAAGTTGCTTAGACCTAATTATTTGAATGGTTAGGTTTTTCTTTTCTAGGGGTACAACAAAAAAGTTACTGACACAATAAGGTGAGCATAAACTAAGGTGGTGTAGGACATTTTGAGCCTCTGTGTTCTCATCTGTAAAATGGGGAAACCTGCCCTACCTTCTCCCTGTGATTGTGGAAGAGCAGTTGAGACGCTGCATGCACTGGACCTCATGGACTGTCTACCCAACCTCCAGTCACCGTTCCCTCCATCCTGATGGAACTGGGAGTGGATCCCAGAGCCCACACAGCCCTCATGCCCATGAACTTTGGGAAGGGAGTCAAAGCAGCTGCAGGAGCTGTCTAGCTTTATCTAAGGATGATCCTACCTTCTCTGTTAAAGACTGGTATAGAAATGGTTTGTGTCATAGTTTGGATATGAAATGTCCCCCAAAGGCTCATGTGAAGGCTTGGTCCCCAATGCAGCAGTGTTCACATGTGGGACTTTTGGGAAGTGACTGGATCATGAGGGCCCTGACTTTATCAGTGGATTAATCCATGAATGTGTGTAAAATTTGACGGTATTATAGGAGGTGGTTGATCTCAAGAAAGTGGGGTCTAGTTAAGAATAGGTCACTGGAGTTGTGTCCATGAAAGGTATGTCTTGTCCCCGACCCCTTTCTCTCTCTGTTTCCTGGATGCCATGGTGGGCAGCTTTGCTCCTGCCATACCTTCTGCCATGATGTTCTGCTATACCACAGGCCCATAATCGATGAAGCCAAGTGACCATGGACTGAAACCTCTCAAACTATGAGCCAAAATGTATCTTTCCTCCTTGAAGCTGATTTTCTCAGGTATTTTGTCACAACAACTAACACAGTTGGTATGTCAGCTTAAGGAGACACGAAACAGGTTTTGCTGAGGGCTCCTGAGAACTTTTCTTCTGAATGTTGCTGTGTGTGGATATAAGATCCAGAACTTGCTACCAGCCTGAGGATAAAATTTACACGTGGAGGATGGAAAGTTGGTACCCTGGAGAATTGTGGGAAAACAGGGCCCGCATGACCACATTCAGATAAGACTAAAACTCTTGGTTGAGAGCCAGAATATTTCCTTCTTGTTTTGCATTATTTGCCATTGAAGGTATCTTAACTCAAAATAGGTCCAAGTGCTTTACAGATTACAAGGCAATGTAATTACGACTGAAGCCTGGAATATGCTTCAGTCGTAATTACATTGAGGGAGGATATATAAACACAGTGAGGGAGGATATATAAACACAGTGGAGGGAGGATATATAAACACAGTGATCATGATACAATCAGGATGTATCTCATGGATTGGTTTTATTTATGATCTTACAATTTGTGGCATCTCCTCACTTCCTACATGGTAGGATCAAAAGAGTATCAATAAATGTATATCAAACTGTTTGAGAAAATAATTCCATTTTCATCAGAATTTTCCTTCTTTAATTGCACACCTTTCTCTCCTTTTTAAAGTTCCCTGTTTTCTCTTTTCCTGTGTCATTGCCATCATCTAAATCTACAGTTTATCTAAAGGAAACTAAAAAACTAGGAACTGCCACATTTTCTGCACAGGGTCTTCCATCTTCAGAAGGGAAGTGTGGGTCACCAAGAAGAGCTACTAACTTTGCTTACATTTATTCTTTATTGCTTATATTTATTGCTTACATTTATTCTTTAAGTTCACAACCTACACAAAGCAATTTTTATCCTCAACTTCAAGGAGGAAAGATTTATTTTGGCTCACAGTTTCATTAAAATATTTTGTATAGTTGACTAATCACAGGAATCAATATTCTAAGCTAACCATCTCTTTACTTATAGCTTTTTGTTGACTTGCTTTTATCCTTTTCTTTACCAATCCATTCCACAGATATTTTTTTGAACACTATTATAACAGTAACCCAAGTAAAAAGACTTAGTTCACATCCAATAGGGCAGGCTACTCAAGGTGCAGACTTTGAACCAGAAGCATACACACCTAGAAGCTTGGTAGAAATGTCAACTCATGGGTCTCACCCTTTACCCACTGCATTTGAATCTCTAGTGGGGCCCGGGATCTGTGTTTTAACAGAACCTGCAGGTGATCTTTTTGTATACCAGAGCCACTATTCTATGAGCTTATGGCCTACTGAAGAGTTTGGAAGCTGTAGTAAAAGCAATTACTATCCTTAGAAATATGAGCAACATGCGATGAGAACCTAGGAAGGGCACTACAAATAGGTGCTAACAACCACCGAGCACCTAGAATGTGCCAGGCACTACACAGGCATTATCTTCAACACCATGACAATAGGGTGAGATTTGTACACAACACCTGAGCGACTCCACAGTTTATAATCACTGTACAAAACGACCCTATGGGTAAGAATGCAGGAGTTATGCAAAACAAACAAATAAACAAATAAAACAAGCTGTGTTTGAGCCAAGTCTAACTTTGCTAGATCTGTCAACTGCAGCAAAAGCCAATATTGCTGTTCTTGGAAAATGATGTAGTATGTGGGAAGGAATGAAAGCCAGAGAGACCACAGGATATTTGGAAACTTCAGGTAGTCCAATACAAAGTGCTGGGGAACAGGAGGGGTGGGAATGGGCCTAGAGAGCTAGGTAAAAGTCTTTTTTTTAAAAAAAATTTGTTCTATTTAGATATACATGACAGTAGAATGTATTGTGGCATATTATACATACATGGAGTGTAACTTATTCTAATTAGAATCTTATTCTTGCAGTTATACAGGATGTGACATTACCCTGGTCCTGTATTCAAATACAAAGATAGGAAAGTCACATCTGATTAATTCTACTGTCTTTCCTATTCCCCTCCCTCTCCCTTCCATTCATTCCCCTTTGTCTATTCCAATGAACTTCTATTCTTCCGCTCTCCATCCTCCCTTGTTGTGGGTTAGCATCCACATATCAGAGAGAATATTTGGCCTTTGGTTTGGGGGGCACTGGCTTATTTCACTTAGCACGATATTCTCCAGTTCCATCCTTTTACCAGCAAATGCCATAATTTCATTCTTCTTTGTGGCTAAGTAATATTCCACTGTGTATATATACCACATTTTCTTTATCCATTCATCTGTTGAAGGATACCAAGGTTGGTTCCAAAGCTTGGCTATTGTGAATTGAGCTGTTATAAACATTGATGTGGCTGTGTCACTGTAGTATGCTGATTTTAAATCCTTTGGGTATAGTCTTATTGTAAAGGGTTGATATACTTTGTAAATGAATTTCTATTTTATTCTGTAGGGAAAAAGAGCACCACTGACGAATTTTACAAGACTGAAAAGACCTGTTTGGTGTCAAAAGGATTAGCAGTAGGGGAGCATGGTCAAAAAACAGTGGTTCTCGAAATCAGAAGGTTGAAGTGGAACTGACAGCACTTTGCTTA